GGCTTTTGGAATCTCTGGGTACAGACAACGGAAAGCCATGTCATCGGCGTCGTCGCGGCAGCGATCCGCAGCAACCTTGAAAGCGCGAGTTGAAGGTGACGCAGGTTGTGCCGCGCAGTAAACTGCTGGTAGGCAGCCGTGTAAAGCCTAAAACTCTGCAGCTCTACACTGAAGCAGTCGAGGAATTCGAGCAATGGGCTACATCAACCAGCTTGTCCCGCAACATTCACAGACAGGTAGATGAAGCAATCAGATTCTTCATACACGAGCTTTGTGAGGATCATAGGCGTCTTACTGAAGGCAATTATTTGATATATGGATGGATATTCCTGCGGCCCAATCTACACTTAGCAGAGCGGCTGCAACTTCCATTTTCGAAGCAAGCGATCAAAGGATTGAAAGCCTTCAACATCCTCGCGAGCTGGAGTTGATCTCTCGCTGTGGGACTTGATTGCCCTTCAATGCCTTGTGTCAGGTCACCGCGTGACTGCTGCAGCTATCTTGGTACAAGGTGACACCTACCTGCGACCAGGTGAGATTTTCATTCTGCGCAAAGACAATGTCATTCAACCACGGGCATCACGGGCTGTTGATGTGTGGGGGCTAATTCTTGGGCTTTTTGAGGATGGAGTTCCAACAAGAGCTGGCGAATTTGGTGACTGCGTGCTGTGTAATACTGCATCTCGCAAAGACGTCAACCTGATCATCAAGACCCGCTACCAATCTGCCTTGCCTGGTAAGCCTTTGTTTGACAACCTGACCCTCCAAAAGTATACGGAGCAAATCCGCTTGGCTGCTAAAGTTCTCGGCCTGCAATCCTTACGTTTTGAGGAATTCAGGTGCATCACATGATGCCTATCACAACCTTTGATCCTTTAAAGAGATTCAAAGCCGTGGGCAGTGGAAATGCAGCAGGTCAATACTTCGGTACAAAAAGCCAGGGAGAATGCTGCTACAGCACTCCAAAGTTGCAAGTGCGGTTTGGACCAAGGCCAAAACCTCTAGAGCACAAGTTGTCTCTCATTTAGTGTCTTCTTTAAACTAGATCCAACAACTTGGGATTCGGGCGTCTGCAAAGTATCATCCGTATCGAGGTCCAAACTTTGGCCCGTGGTTTCATCTTCGTCTCAGCTGGCCAGCTTTGCATGGACGGCTCATCGAGCAACATCATTTCCGCATCCGGGACTACGTCAGCGTAGCTGCAAAAAGAGTCCTCGCTCTGAATGCTGGAACGGCCATCCATCACAGGTAGGCATCAATTTGGAGCTTGCGACTTTTTGTGCTTGTGTGTGGATATGAAGTCCGCATGTAAATGTTCTTGCTCAGCTTTTTTGACCCCCCCACGTACCACCCAGGGGCGTCTGTAAAGTATCATCCGTATCGAGGTCCAATATTGGCCCGTGATTTCATCTTGCCTTCAGCTGGCCAGCTTTGCATGGACGGCTCATCGAGCAACATCACTTCCGTATCCGGGACTACGTCAGCATAGCTGCAAAAAGAGTGCTCGCTCTGAACGCTGGGACGGCCATCCATCACAGGGAGGCATCAATAACAAAAGGTTCAAATGGACACTAGGATTCCAGGTTCAGGGGGCATGGAGGTATTACAAAGAATGGAAAATCTGTATGATTGTGGCGTTATATAGGGATTGCCATAAGAAACATACCTCGTTAACCATAGGTAAGAAGAACCACCTCTTTCATGGTGACCTGCCTAATGGGCATCCCCGTATACCTTGTACCCTGAACCTTAAACCTTGGTTGTGCTGGCTTACAATGACTTAGTCCAGCTGGCGAAGGATGAGACGAGCGGATTCTCTGTGGGGCTCGAGGATGATTCGGACCGCTCTGGGGGATGGGTTTAGGGTTTAGGGCTTAAGTAGCATTTGATTTTGAAGCATCTTCGGCTCTGGCATTCATTGTTTTAAGCTGAGCCATCACTCTCCGAATTGGGGGATCTTCGGTTTGTTTTTGAGCCCTCGCAGACTAGGATTATATTCTCTCACTTGACAAGCACAACTGCAATCTTGAGAAATGACTATTAGTATTACGATACAATGTTTTGACTATTCCTTTTAACAGTTAACAGCCAAAGGACGCCAAGCCATTGCATCGATTGTGGTTTTGGTAAGGGGGAGCCAGAGATAGGGTCGAGGGTTTAGGTGGAATCGGGATAGTGTTCGGGAAGCAAATGAACTTTAGGAACCGTGGTCCATATTTGTAGGCTTGTCGTGACCAGCCATCCTTTTTAGCAGGGAGATGTTGCCATGAGGGGCTCATTTTGTTGTAGATGCCGGCAGAAGTAGGGAAATTTTGCATCAATAGCTGATGTTTGAATTAGTGGAATCAGCTATTTACACTCTACGAAGCCACTTGTTCTGCCGCAGCAGATTTCTTCCGGCTTTAGCTGGAGACTGCAGCAAGGATGACGCGCAAATCACGGCAACACCATTTCCAGGAACGTCTGCTGAACTTCTTGGGGTTTTATATCTTACTGCTTGCTGACTTGGGCACAGAGATCGGTTTGTGTGCTGAAGGGTTCATCGACATGCGTTTGCCCCAAAGGCAAGCATTTTAAGTCCAAGACCACCTAAACCGCCTAAGCGCCCAACCGCCGAAATCCCAGTCATCCCCGAAAAACAGCTGAACTTGACCTGTCCTTGGCCCCACGAATTGTGAACCTGTGAATCCTAGACAGCAGGACAAGAACAAGTGCCTAAGCTCCCAAGGTACCCGGGCCAGTTTTGAATGCCTTACACCTCAAGCCCTGTGCATCAAAGGCTCACATCCCTAGGACCTGAAGGTAAATTGCTTAACTCGGCGGCTTGTGTGAGGATTCTTTTGCTTCATTAAATTTAATCTCAGGGGAGACCTTGGGGATGTCGAATCCAGTTATGCTTCGGGATTGGAGTTTGCATAGTTCTGACACCAAGCCTACCCGGAATAGCCCGAATGACCCTAAACCCGGAACCCCCAACCCTAAACGCTAAACCGCGCGCTGCAGGATTTCTTCAGGTGGCAGGTGGTTTTTGAAGGACCACAGGACAGCTTGTGCCCCATTGGGGTGGGGTGTCCGTTTAGGGTTTCGAGTTGACGGTTTAGGGTTCAGGGTTTAGGGTTATGGGGCTGATTAGGGGTCCGGTTTGAGGATGTGCCCCGCGTTGAGACGCCTTGGAAGTCCCAGAGACAGTAGTTTACAACAAATTGGGTTGTCTGGCTCAGGGCACCGGAAGTCAGTTCTTAGGCTTTGGGCAGTAGGTGGTTCCTGTGTCCCCGCGCTAGCTGGGCTAGCCATGGCCGGATTTAGGGTTTAGGGTTTAGGTTTGAGGGTTGCAATTTTTGCTTTGGAACGATTGTGAGCATTGCATGGGACATTACGGCAGCAATTCTAATCAACTGGGCAGAGCTGGTAGGAGTGATAACTCCTATATAGCCCCTATATAACACCTATATTATAGCCTTATATAAAGTCGGAAGAAGTATGGAGCCAGCGGCTCACCTACGGTAAATTCGGAAGACCGGCCTCAAGCTCTCATGATACAAGTTTGTAAACATAGTATTGTATAGCATGGTATTTCCCTGAATAGGAGGACCCCCAATGCAGACCCCAAATACAATAGTCCTCATTATATAACGAGGTCCCCATATGGGGACCCCCAAAAATGTGCCCCTGCTTTGGGAACCTCCTCAATCTTTTGCCTTTCGCAGTGGCACTGGTAAACAAACTTCCCATGCTCAGAGGTAGCGGGCTGGAACAGGGGCGGCTTGAAATTCTGTATGGTCTTGAGAGGATGTGCTGGACCCTCTACGGCTGAGCACCTGACGTAAGAGTCTGTGAAAGCGCCTGTTCATGAAAGCCTTAGAGTTATCAACAAAGCACTATCATTTCTGGATTGAGTGAACCGTCTAGACCCTCCACACTGAATCTGTAGCCGAAACCCTAAACCCCAAACCCTATACCCTAAACCCCCTAACCCTAAAACCCTTTATAAGCCTTTGAGGTACGAGGGTGGCATCTTTTCCGCTCTTCTCGTTTTCCCCCCCGACTTTCCGAACAATCCGCCTGAGATGAAGTGGGGAGACCAAGGTGTTCACAGGGTTTTGCGCGGTTTAGGGCTTACCTCCGAAGTACCCCTAATCATGGCCTTTAATTAACCTCAAAACAAGGGGTACTTCAGCTATTTGTCAGTCAAAGACTTTAGGTTTAGGGACCCAAACCCAAGGGTACAAACCCTAAGGGTACAAAGGACATCTCCCTGAGTCTGGTTATTTGGGAGGTCTAGGTGTTGGCTGAAATTCGTGTATTGCGACAAAAGCCGTGGGGCCGTGGGGTAAACTCCCTGGCAATCGTAGAAGAGCTTGTTTGGCCTGCACGGAAGACTGCCATCCCTTGAGCTATGTCGATAACAAAGTTCCTGCATGACCTTATCGTGCTACAATACTTTAATTGGTTTAGGGTTTAGGGTTTAGTGTCAGCGTATTAGGTACTTAGCCTCATGCAGGATTTCGCGTAGCCACGGCAACATTGAGCCCTAATCCCATTCAGACCGTTCAAGTTTCATGTTTGCTAGGGGCAGGGAACGTGCAAAGTATAGGAGCCGCAGAGCTTGCTTGCAACAGAGTAGTTTCTGCCAAGGTTCTGGGTGCGTTGAGTGTGGTAATAGTCATAGTAAGAGTAATAGTGATAGTGATAGCAACAAGTAATATAATAGTGCTAGTAATAGCGTCATCATCATCATAGTAGTAGTAGTAGGAGTAGTAGTAGTAGTAGTAATAGCAGTAAGAACAGTAGCACGGACAATTTTACTTTAGGTAAAAACGGGCATTGAAATACTCATCTTCATAGCCATCGTATTAATGGCGGTGATGGTCATATTGATAGTATTACTAGGCTGAATGGTAATGGTAGTATTCATAATACAGTCATAAATATTAACAAGGGGAGCCTGGAGTTGAAAAGAAGTTGCCATCAGAGATACATGCATTACCTAACATATTAGCGTTCAGGGTTCAGGGTTCAGGCTTAAGGGTTGAGGGGTTTAGATGTTTAGGGTTTGGAGTTTAGGGCTTAGGGAAGTCCTAGGCTTGCCTGTGCGGCCCCATTTCACAGTCAGTCCAAATTAGATTCTAGCTGCTTTGGTTTAGGTCTGAGTTCAGAATTAACTTCCCTTCGGCTATAGCCATCCTACCTTCAAGTAGGCTCATGGGCAGTCATAATCACACTGGAATTGGATAGCTGTAGCTATGGTCAACTTTGAACTTAGAACCCAACTTTAAACTACCCATGAACCTCCAAGTAGTTCTCCCAGGGTAGATTGAAAGTAGAAATTGGGAAGGCCAGAACACTTTCCCCAAAAGTTCCACTACATGTCCTTCCATTTTTCTTCGAGTAGCTTAAGGAGGATTGTTGATAGGAAAGGATCTTGTTCTTGGTTGGAACCCTTTTTGGGGGGTTTTCCCCAAATTAGGTGTTCCTTTTTGGGAGTCCCCATAATAAGGATTATAGTATATTGGGGTCTATATTGGGGTCCCCCTATTTTGGGAAACTACCATATGTATCTCCAACCCTACTCTTGGGGGCCCGAATGCAATCCTTCCAATCCCTGGAAAAGGACCACAATCCTCATATACGGGGTCGACATGGATTCCATTCTCACTGAGGGAGGCAGTTGCTGTGAAAAAGAACCGCCAACCTTAAACCTTAAACCCTAAGCCCTATAGTGGCTGAGGTTTGAGACGGAGATGTGGCATCCCAACATCTACGCGGATGGACGACGCTCGACAGGGAACTTCGAACCATCCTTGCCTTCAGAGTCCAGGATGTTTTGGCTTGCTGGTTTGAGATCTATTCTGGTTTAGGAGACACCGCTGGAAAACGGCGCAATCTTGAAAGTCATTGATTGCACCAAAAAATTGCCGATGTCTCAATTTCGCACTCTGTGTTCTGGGGAGGCAGTATTTGGTGATCGATGATCATTTCGGGATTGTAAGAGGTTGTGCTTTTAAGTTTGAAGCAGACTTTCTCTCTTGTCCAGGGAGTCACGGAGGCCACAGAGAAAACTACATTCGTTCAGGGCGTATGGATTCGGACGTTCTGGCTTTCTATTGGTTGGTCTCGCACGCTTTTTAGTTCGCGCACGGCTTGTCGACCTCGCGTTTCAACCACCAGAGTTGTCATTCTCAGTGACAGAAATTTGTGGCAAAAACGCCGTGTGGGAAGTCCAAAAACCAATGGGCGGAGAACGTGTCCCGAATGCTCCGTAACTTTTGCGCACGAGTTGCTTCTTTGGCCGTGAGATGTTCGTCATTTTTAACTCATTCATGGTTCATGAACTTCCATGCCCAAACTATATTGACGTTCTTTTTCCTCGAGTTCCAAGAGCAGGTGACCAGAGCATCCATGCCCAGATCTTAACAACGTTCCTGTTCTGAGAGGTTCTAAGCGCACACATGGACCAGAGCGCCTTGTGTTCCTGGAGGATTCGGTGACCAGAGCATCTGTTCCCAAACCATTATCACATTCTCGTTCCAAGAGCATACCATAACCGGAGCACCCATGCACAAAGCATATTCCGGTCGTGTTCCAAGCGCATATGTTGACCAAAGCATCCATGCCGAAAGCAGAACAACGTTCATGTTCATACGCTGACCCGACCACCCGCGCACAAATCGTAATTGCAAGGGCCCTTATTACTTATTACTTGGACATTGTGCCCACTCACCACCCAAGCTGGCCAACCACTTCCAAGGCTGCCAGACGTGGGGGCACGCACCGGGACAACGGGCTCTTAAGGGCTTCTGGTACCTCACATGCAGTAATAATCGCTTCTCCCTAATATTAAGCGACCCCTCCCCCCCCACAATATTCAATATTCCGGGGCCCGAAAATCATTTAATATTAGGGGACACATTCTTTTGCATGAAATACGGCAGCCTCTGAAGGCTTTCTAAAGCCCTCTAAATTAAAATTCCTTTCAAGCGAAATCTAGGGACACACGAATGTAGATCCACTTAAAAATCGATCGAAAACAAATTGAGATCTAATTGAAACCAATTGGAATCAAATCAAAATCCTCTTAAACACCATTGATTTCGAATTTAAATCGACTTAAAGTCACTGATGTCTGACTGAAATTACATCTAAACCAATTGACATCGAATTAACATGCAGTCTAAACCGAGTGAAATCGAATTTACACCCAATTAAAACCCATTGAAATCGAATTCGAATTCAATTAAAAACGCTTGAATTTGAATTAAAACCAATTAGAGTTCATTCGAAACCGACTTAAAAACAATGGAGACCTAAGCAAAGGCAACTGAAACCTAATCGCAATCACGCTATGATCAGACAAACCATGGAAATACAAAAACAAGGAAAACCTAGGATATGAACCTGATCCTTAATTCTGTTGTACTTTATAAGCCCTAGACCAGACGGAAATAAACAAATACCAGACGTGCCCCTCCTGCCAGCTGCCCAGACAACTGACACGGATTCTTGAAGGCATCCAAAAAGGTGCTTTTAACACATCATCAATGCGTTGGTCAGAAATGCAACCCTGGGTCTGGCTATCTCGGCATTGGAGGACCCCAGGCTTGAAATTGAAGCAAACCCCACAGGCCGCCAGTAGTTCGCTGGGAGGAGGTAAGTGGGGTAAGTAGGGTAACTAGGTAGCTAGGTAGCAAAGTAGGCAGGTAGGTAGGTAAGAGGGTAGCATTGGTATTGGTATTTGCACCTCGACTATTGCTGCTTCAGTTGCTCCTCCTTCTTGTCTACTGCTCCACGATCATGCCAGTAGTGTAATGTGAAGTCGGATTTTTATGTATAGTAGTGTAAGTGAAACCGTGATACACCGTAATCCTCCAATCCTTAGACGCATACTTACTCCGTAGAAGCCCCGCCCAGTTGGGGCATGGACGCTCTGGTCAGCGTAGGCTCTTGGAACACGAACGTTGATTTGGCTTGATCATGAATGCTCTGGACACTGTATGAACATGAACTATGTTATGGTTTGGGCGCGGATGCTCTGGTCAATGTATGCCGAACGTTATTGTGGTTTGGGCGTAGACCCTCTTGTCAGCACATGCTCGTGGAGCACGAACGTTGTTATGCTTTGGGCATGGACGCTCTGGTCACCGTATGCCTGTGGAACAAGAGTTAAACACTTCCACCCAAAAGAAAAGCGCCAATAATAGATAATATCCTGAAGATTATTTTTAAAAGGGAAAGACTACTGTTAAAAGGGGCCACCTGACAATGAATTAGGGCGGCTTTGAGGTGATTTGGGGGGAAAAAATATGGGTCATTAGGTTGCATGGTACCTGGCAAGGTGCCTGGTTGATATAGCTCTGCGTATGATACGTGTATGTTCGCATAGACCGTTAGGGTCTGCCAAAGCTTTCCTGACGAAACGAGTCACCTGACCCATAATGATCGCTTGAAATGTGGGAAAAACGATCCCTGACATCACATGAGCCTTGCGTTTATCATCAGCATGCAGAAGTAGATTTTTTCCGTGGGCTTTGGCAATCAGAGTCTCCATGAGGTCCAATGGCGTGCAACCCCTATACTTGCGACAACTGCCTCGAACTCACAATCAGATTGGTGCAAAATGAGCAGGGCAGTTTCATTTCCAGGGCAATTGTTGTTGTTATTGCCAGGTCCCTGACACCAAATTTCAGGTTTTTTTTTTTTCCGGTTGCGCAAGTGCCCGAGCAGGATGTTCTCAGCGTGCAAACTACTTACTGAAATTATTGTGGGCGGAGGAAATTCAGCACCAGCCAATATACACTGCACGCCAAGAACCCTAAACCCATAATTAAAAGTATTGTGGGCCTCCTACGTTGTGTCAGGTGTCCTCCATTCACCGTAGGGTCATGCAGGATTCTGAATTCCTAAAATGAAAGCCAATACAAAACCCAAGTTCCCATGTCATGTTCATGTTCCATTCCAAGTGACTCGCCACTTGGGGGGTTAATATTCCGTCATATCCCAATGCAACCTTGCAATGGAAGCCAGGATTTCCGATTTGGGTTTTCCGTTTTCTTTTACTTGTGATTGTCCATTATCAGAGCAACATCACTAAGCCCTATACAATCCCTATATAACCCTATATCATCCTTATAGAACCATTATAAAATCCCTATATTCCCAAGTTTGAGGGTCTCTCCGAGCCCCTGAGGAGTCTGCATCTCGATTCTGCATCCCCCCGGCACAGACCGTTTCAACGACCAGGAATGGAGTTGGCGTGGTCTCTAGGGTTAAGGGTTTCTAAGCCCTACACCGTAAATTTAGGGTTTGGAGTTTAGGGTGCTTGTGGGAGTGACAAAGCTGCTTAATCAGTCGGGATGGGGAAGAGAAGAGAAAACTGCGGTTTAGGATTGGGCTTACTATTTCAGGAAGTAGGGGCACAGGTTGGGCATAGGTTTGATGTAGGCTTGGAGTTCGTATAGGGGAGTATTCTAAGGGTCATTAAAGGGGACGATAGGAGTTTTAGATTGAAGCTAGCATGAGAGCACCTATTTTTTGGTTGAGCAGTCCTTTTCCAAATGGTTCATTTACTTGAGCTTCTCGATGTAACCCTGACATAACCAGCAAGGGAACACCACCAGAACTCAACCATCATCCCTGTAGACTTCCGCCCACTGCGAGAACGCATCATTTCGGGGCGCACCTTTCTGGAGGCATTTTAGACAGCACCTATTGTGAGAACTTCTCGTTTTGAAGCGCGCCTCTATAGATTAACTTCTGATTTTGAAGCGCGCCTCTGTAGATTTTTTTCCAAAGTTCTCTTGGCGCAGCAAGGTATTTTTAAGGTGAGATGCCATTCCCTACGAAGCATAGGGAGACAATCATAGCGCACCTTTGATTCACAGATTGCCCCAGTTGAACTTCCCCCAAGTGACTGCTAAATCCTCAAACGGTGCTCGGGGCAGTCCATAAACCCTAAACCCTAAAGTTTGGGTCTCCCCTGGCATGCTCCTCATGAAGATGTAACAGGTGTTATAAGCTTGAAAAAAAGCCATATGACTCATCAGGATCCGAACCCAACCGCTTAACAAGAGACCCGCTATACTTATGGTCCTTGAAGCTTCCTTCAGAAATCTCAGGTGGGTTTGGGAGGTAAGGTTGATCTATGTCAAGTCCTGACGAACGGTATGAAGCATGCAAGGAATTTCGACCCATGAGTGGCCCTGACATGCATGTTGAGCAGCTCTAGAACCCTGAGGGCAGTTTCCTAGACGGCGGCCAAGGTTAAGTGACAGAGGGGAGCTCTAAACCCTAAACTTCAAGCCCGAGTCAACGAATCCAACATTTTTTCCTTGCCCACAAACCCTGAAGCCCACTACGAAGGAGACTGCGGATGAGAGGTGGAGACCCATCCTTGGCGTGCACAGCATTCTGATCAGTGCCTGTAGCCCAGGGCATGTGGATTCCTAGACTTGTGAAACTCCAAATGTAAATTTTCTCAGTCATAGCAGCGACCCTGCGTCTCGAAGTTGGCAGTTCGTACACATTCCCTTGACCCTAAATAATCGTAGTTTCTTCAAATAGGGGCACCCCAATGAAAATCCCAACATACCACAAGGTTTCGTAGGCCTCTCCCAGGATCTTACTGAAGGTCTGGGAGAAACAAGCTATGTGTGTGTGTGTGTGTGAGTTTAGGGTTTAGGGATGTTTAGGGTTTATGGGTTTCGGGTAGTCCTAGCTTCTCAACCCATAATTGGCAACCCTGAAGAGGAATCCTGTTTACGCATGCGGGTTTCTTTACCAAATTGTGATACGGGTCCACATTAACGTAGGTTTCTCAATAAAATCCCAAATCCCCAAAAGGGGTTATAAATCCTAGTTTCCATTTCATTTTCCATTTTCTTTTCCATTTGATTTTCCATTATTCCCCTATTATGGGAGGACTAATTCTTGGCAAGCTGCACCATCCCTTAGCACCGGGCGAGTTACCGCCTTAGGCCCGCAGCAACCCTAAACCCTAAACTTATTCCGGAACGCTTTGGAAGCTGAAGTGATAAGTCCTTGGCGTAGGGCCCAGTAAACTTGACATTATCAGAATGAATCCTTCACGTTGAGGAAGCTCGAGTCTCTTTTGTTCGGTCTATTTGAGCTCCAACTGCATGACCTTGATATACTTCAGTACCATAATTCCCGAGGTATGAGGTACTAAGGGTCATGCAGGACTTTTAGTATCCACCGTACCTTTGTTCTTTCATGACACGATGCAGGGCTCACCGTGGCCCCTCCATAAGCCATCACATGACGAGAGCTGAGCATCGCTGCGGAGCAAATGTTTACTTTCATGCCTAGGGCATATGAGCTGTAGTCTAAACTCCTTGAAGGAGCGTTATATAGGAGATTATTTAGGGGACTAGTATAAGGGTTATGAAGGGGATACTAGGAGTTTAGATAGCAAGTGCATAGAAAGGCGAAGACAGCTGTATGCCCGGCACCAAACTTGGCACAATCCAAACCCTCAACTTCTGCTCATTTACTCCCGGACATCGAACAACGTTGCATTGCCTCAAGAACCCTGAATTCCTAAATTGCTGGCCGACCTGACTTCTCCTGATCCCGCAGCTGATGCACCATTCAAAACCATCGTCAGGAATGGTGCAGAGGGATTGGCCAGACCTTGGGAGTGAACTCATTGAAGACCATCCCATGCATGATGGTCAAATGTAGAACGCTTCTCCTTCAAAGGTAGATCGAAAATAGCGATCTCCAAGTCCAAATCCTCTATTCCTGAGTTTGCTGCGAGCACTAGCGCCAGAACTCTGAATCCTCATCCCTTCCAAGGTCATCTCTATGCTGGTGGACCCGAACTTGAACTCGCCAGCCAACATAGATGCAGCGGTGCACCTCAAGAACGACCCGGAGGGCTGGAAGAAGAAGGCCCGCCGGTTTGGCCGAATCATGCTTACAGGGAGGAGGATCCCTATAGTAGTCCTCAAAGGTTTAGGGTTTAGGGTTAATCCCATTCACCCCATTTCCAACTCAGAATGAGAAAGTCCAGGGGTTCAAGGCTTTTTATGTATCGATTGTTAGATTCTTTGAACTCATGATGAAGGCTGCTCGGACCTGCTAGGCAGGAACCCTGGTATTTGTCTTGAATTTGCAGGCAGCCGGAAGTGGATGGGATCGGGCTTCTTGGGTTTAGGGTTTAGGGTGGGGGGTTTTCTTTTCAAGGTTTGGGTTTAGCAGAACACCAAACTCCAGAGGTGCAAAAATCTCAACTGTTCTTGGAAACTTGACAGAGGAGGATGTTGCGTGGGAGCTTCACAAAAATTAGGCGGTTAGAATCTCAAATACGAAGCCTCATACTCCCTTCGTAATCCCCATATATCCCTAAAAGTCCTGTGGAGTGCGTCTGAAGAGTACATATATTTCAAACACAGCTGCAACTAAAGAAGGGAAGATCTCCCCTGTCAGTTCCATGAGGTCAGGACACATAGAGGGAAAGCTTCTGCTCCTAGTAGCAGATAGCTTCAGCTTGAAATTGGCTATGCTTGGCTGAGCTTACACATCCAGTGATCGCTACTTGTTAAAGGCAACGGACCTTGTGCTCTAATTGACTGCTCAACCCCCTTTGGATCTGGATTTTTTCCAGGTCCCCTTTGAGAGCGTATCCATCGCACGGGCATGGGCAACTCGTAGGGCAACTGCAATGTGCAAAGGCCTATAAGGAATACACATGCTTTGCCCTAAAACCTAAACCCGGTTTGTCACGGTAACCCTCACTGGGCTTTGGCCCACCTCTTGGAACCTCAGAACCTGTCTATGTCAACCTTGTTGCTATCACCAGATCTTAGTTCCCCTTTAAATAGGGGCACACGATATAGACCCCAATATACTACAATCCTTACTAAGGGGACCCCCGAAGAGGTACCCCTAACTTTGGGAACCCCCCCAGATGTCGCTCAGGTGCGTCAGCTCACTCGAAAGAGTGTAGAGGGTTAACGGGCCAGCCGCACCCAGCCGCACAAAGTGCCGGAAAGAATTCGAAACACTTGATGCTCTGAGGCTGAAAGCGCGACATTTGCCACCAATTCCCCCGAAGTTTTTAATGAAATGCACTCCCCCAAACTAACATGGAAGCCCATATAGCCCCCCCTTTTAAAGGGACTGTAGTCTATATAGGGCCATTTTGGGGTTTCCATGTTAGTTTCCGGGAGGGTATGTTTGCCGTACCTATACCTGGGGCTATATCTTACCATAGCACAATATTCTGAGGATGACCACATCTATTCCTACTACTAGGGTTTAGGGTTTAGGGTTGATAAGGTGTAGGGTGTAGGGTTTAGGGTGTAGGGTGTAGGGTTTGGGGTTTAGGGTTTAGGTCTTGGGGGGCGGCACGTAGGGATGCTGAAGTTCATCTGCGCATACAACCCACGTGGTGTCGCTATCGCTATCCACGGCCTTTCCCTAAGTCCGAATGTAGACCCCCAAATTAACAAACCCCCTCCCCTTAGGGATCCTAATATTAAGGCCCTTAAAAGGCAAGGGTTGATTAATCAGGGGTCTACATTAGACCCAAGCCCTGTACTGGCAGTTGCCAGGGGCGACCCTGACGCTCTAACGTTTCATCAGGCGAATGCTTTGGGTCCTTCCCCTGACGACAACAGTTACCACAATAGGTGATGAGAGTTATAGTAACCGACCCCTTTAAGGACAGATACTGCAAGGGGAAAAGATTCAATGAAATGCTACATTTTGTCAAAACGAAGGGTACCCTTGTTTCAGCTGCAGGGCGTCGATCACATGAACCCCTGAAACCCTTGAAGCTGTCAGCTAATGGCTACTGGGCTAGCCAGACGCCCAGAACCATCCCAATCAAACCTGACTATGCTACAGGTAGAGATTCTTGAAGATGATGGTATCATACAGCCCAATATGTCAGCGAGAACATTTAGGTGAAAAGGACAACGGGCGTGAGAGAAAGGCGCTCTAGAATGACGAAGCCTTCTTTCTTAAAGCGCTTAAGCCCCAAACTCTGAATTCCCCAAACTTAAGAATTTCATCCCCAGCATGTAAACAGTGGTGCTGGCTCCTTTGCGAGATCCCTGGCAGCAAATGTTGCTTGCTGTGCCTACGCTGGCATTGCAGTGGGCATTTGAGTTGTTTCTGAAGCTAGATGCGCTCAAGCACGCTGTGCGTTTCTACCTGTAGAAACAGCCCACTTGGCCATTTTTTGTGTTAGTCAAGAGTGGGGCCGTGGTCTTGATGAGTCTGAAGAATCGCATGTATCATTCCGGGGCAGTTCTTGTTTGAGCACATGTGCATGACTTGACTACCAGCCCAAACTCCAGTTGAAAATGCCTGCCTGGGAGATGCAAAGCACTGCATTGTAGGGGCCTAGAAAGCCGAAAGGGCTTTAGGGGTATGTTACAAACAGTTATATATCAACAGGAGGGTTACAAGGGCATCATATTGTTAGCCCATCATGCCTTTACTTGCATGAGTTTTTCGTCACGCTAACCTGCCTGGCATGTGGCCATGTCAGAATAGGTGTCCCAGTGAATACCTTCCACATTCCATAACCCTTAAACCCTAAAACCTGGATTCTGTAGAAGTGCAAAATGCACTTCACGCAGTTCTAAAAGCATGTGTGCTGAGCGGCGCATAAATGTTGTTCCAGAAGGCCTATGCCCAAAACAGGGTTGCTGTTAAGGAACTTAGATTAAGTTACCATAATATGGGATAGTAAATGATATGAGGTTTCCCTACTACAGTAAGACTAGTTTAAGTTCCTTAACAGCAACCCAGAAAACCTGAAACATCAGTACCAAGCCGTGTGTGTAAAAGCTATGCGACCCCAAAAACGGCGCGTGAATCAGACCGGCTGTGCATAAACAGCGCAGGAAGAGACTGCGCGGAACAAGAACCAGACAGCCGTACGTCATCTCGGTCAAAACCCCTCCAACTTGTAGATGTTGCCAAGAAGAGGGGTTCCCCATAGTAGGGAGTTTCTATGATAAGGAAGGACTACAGTATTTGGGCGTATTTTTGCCCATATAATCAGTAAGTCTTGAAATACCCACTTGAATGTCAGCAGAGTAATCTGAACTGTCCAAAGCCAAGCCTTATAATCACCAAGGGGAGAAATGCCCTAAACCCTGCAGGCCCCGCCCACCCCACCCCCAATAGTGAGTATTCCACCCATTATAGACTGACACTATGTCGGGCACGTTTTCAACCAGTGCCCGGTTTAGGTCCGCTTGAAGCAGATGCCCATGCTTTTCCAAGTGTTTTCACAATTCGCGCCGCTGCCAGAGTACGGCTCTCCGGGTGTACGTGGCAGAGACTACTGGGTTGCTGTTGAGGAACTCAGGTTAAGTTTCAATAATAAGGAAACCCTAGTATGTACTATATACCCGAATTATGGTAACTTAAGCCCTAAACCCTACACCCTGTCTACCCATATTATGCTAACTTCAACCCTACACCCTAAATACCGTACAGCCATATTGTGGTACCCCACAACCTTATATACACACCCATATGATGGTAACTTGAATTAAATTCCTTAACAGCAACCCAGATTATTCACACTCAAAAGTGGCAGCCGGGGTCGGCCCTCAAGCCCTGAAGTGTCAAACCGGCTTTAGGCTTTCGGATTCAAGGTTAAAGGGTTTAGGGTTTAGGTTTTAAGGGTTAGGGTTTAGGGTTTAAGGGTTAGGTTTTAGGGGTTTAGGGGTTAGGGTTTAGGGGTTGGGGTTTAGGGGTTAGGGTTTAGGGGTTTAGGGTTTAGGGGCTTGGGGTTCAGGGTTAAGGTCTAGGATCCTTACACCTCATCCAACCCAAACTCGAAACTGGCTTGCGATTAAACAGTTTAAATTGAGTTACCATAATACGAGTATCTAGAAAGTCAGGGGGTTACCTTATTAAAACAGCTTAGTTTGAATTCCTCCACAGCAGAACCCTAAACCCTAAAGCGCTAAATCCCAGCCCCTAACCCTAAACCCTGAAGTCAGCGAATCTTCAGCCTTAAACCTCACATCCGAAACCTCAAACCCCAAAGGCTAAGTCCTCCATGCTTCAACCTTAAACACCCTAAGCCCTAAACATTAAGCCCTAAACTAAACCCTAAATTCTGAACCCTAAACCCAAATCACTGAACCCTTATCAACATGCCAAGTCGAGCGCCAGCTCTAGCTTGAGCTTCCTGAACCTGAAGTTACAATCTCTCGGCCCCGGCTTAGGGTTCAGGGTTTAGGGTTTTAGGTGAAGGATTTAGGGGTTTAGGGTGTACAGTTTAACCTTAAACATTTGATGGAGAAGCTGCGCCCAAACTATAGAGTAGTTCTTCTTGTCAAGTCCCCGTGGTTCAGGTGCATTGTTCGAAGCTGGGACTTCCCCAAACCCTAAACCCTGAATCCTACACCCTAAAACCGCGTCAAGGGAAACTAGGCAGGAGTCTTCAACTCTGGCAGCATCTGCAATGAGGAACAGCTGGAGTTTCCCATGTGAGGTACCTCACCCTGGGAACCTAGCGACTGAAGCCGTCCTTTCTGTAGGGCTGATGTATGATATATCCGCAGACTTGTTATAGACGTGCCCAGGCTTAGGTAATGATGTTGGAAGTCGGAACCCTAAGCCTTAAACTGCTGAAGTTCGAACACTGAGCTTTAAAGTGAGTTGTTACAATCAATATAAACATGAGAAAAGCCATCCCTTGTTACCGAAACAGCTGTTCTGTCCATTGTTACTTACATAATTGTATGCAAAAATATGCATATCCACATGCCTGCGGTTTTATTTTTGGCAGAGTAACAGGCCCTGAATTCTTGAAGCAGGCATGCTATTTGATCGTAAAGCTGAAGCCCATAGAAAAGTCCGTTGGCAGAATGCACCCACCTCACCTGGGTATCTCGGCAAAATGGCGAAATGTCTTC